CTCCTCAGGAAGAACAACAACAAAACTCTCAATCACTGGCACTAACATTCAGGTCGCCATGTTTTTAAGAGGGGGCTGAAATGATAAATCTGTTCTTTGCCTTTGTTAAGACCCGCAATATACAACACTTGAAATCTCGATATGGAAAAACATCTGCATAAGGCAGGCTTGCCAAAGGTAAGTATACCACCTCACATAACACAATCCCCATGTACATCTACCACGTCTTCTATCATTGCCACAGTTTGATTGTTAATGGATCCTTCTATATCCCCCTTCCAGAAAAAAGGAAAAGAGTCAGCTAGAAGCCCTAGAGGAAAATTAGTCTGTTGACTTGTCATGCTTGCATATACTACAGAAGGAAAAGTCTTAAAGCAGAGTTCTGAAGTTTGCAAAAATATTTGAAAACATTTCACACTCTCATCTGAACCCAGCTCCATTTCAGTTTACACATACATTTACTTAATAAGAGCTATTTTCTAGCAACTTTTTTTTAAATCATAAAAAAATCTTTCAAAAGGCAGCAAACTAGAAATAGCATACTCTTTACATAATACTGAGATCAATAGTATTTAAAGTAGCTGGAAAGTATACTAACATGAGTAGTAGTTTTACAATGGCTTGTTTAAAATACCTGGAGGCTTTTACATATCCCAAAGGCATTTCTCATTTGCACAGTAAAGATAATTTTTTGTTTATATCTGAATATTAAATTGGGAATATAGTTACAGTTATCCAGCAAGAATTGCAAAGACTGCTGAAAAGTATAATATCATTGGTGTATTACAGGAATCAGCAGCATAGCCATAAAAAAGTACAAGCTATACTTTTACAATTTTAGGGCAGGAGAACTTCTATTTTGGGGCCATGAAAGCATTTGAAAATAACAGACAAATAACAGCAAGGTACTAGTAATTTCTCCCTATGCCCCCCAAATTAAATCTTTTATATTTTCCTGGTTTGTTTGGATAAAGATATTATAAGGAATTTTCTAATGCTATAAATACAAATGACTCTACTGTAAAGCTACTATTGCCCACTTAATTCCTCCTAATATTTATCTTCTTTTCTTTATCACACACCTGTGGAGTAAATTGTAAGGTTCTAAGTGAACATTTTGTCCTGCATCTTTTTATCCTCACAACTGTAATCTTGTGAAAAAAAGCCTAGCTGTCTCTTTCATCAATTTAATGACTGAAATATACTAGACAATATTGTTTGATTCTTTATATAAATATATATGATCTAGGAGGGTACACATGCCTGTGTTTTCTTAGGTTCTGTCTGCTTCTGTTACTTATCTGGCTTATATGACCTCAGGCAGTCTCAAAGATTTGGTGGGGAATGGAAGTTTCTTGGTCATGGAATTTTTGGTGGAAAGAGCACACTGAAAAATGAAGCTATGCAAACACTAGTGGTATCCATGTCACAAGAAGAAATAAAAAAAGGTTTAAATCCATCCCATTCTTTTGTTTCTATCTCAGAATCTCATAATAAGCCTGAGTAAGACAGAAAAAGTTCTGAACTTGAATATGACTGGGTCTCTGTTGTTCCTAATACAGATGAGACAGAAAAAAAATCTGTAAGATTTATATCCTTTTTATCAGATTTTAGTGTAAATTTTCAATTTCCAGCTCATCTGAAACTCTGTATAATATAGAAAAATGGGTTGCAAGTAGCACAGATCCTCCCAAGTGGCACGCTTCACAAATCATCTTGCTTATAACAGTTATATGATCATCCCATCTTTTAAACTCTTTAAACCCATGTATTTTTCCCAGATTAACAAAGCCAGAAAATCTACTGTCCTGTAATTTTCTGGACAGCAGTAGTGGTAGATAGCAGATTCCCTTTAAAAGCAATCAATGTACTGGAACTAAGATAAACTGATACAAGCATAAAAAAACATATTATTTACTCCTAAGGTAGGGAATAAGACAAAAACTTTTCTGAAAGGATGAGTGTGTGAAGAAGCGCAGTCATGAAACTGAAGCTACTAAGGAAATCATTATGGAGAGTAATAACTGGAAAAGTTAGGATAGAATTTACAGGGCTGAATAATTTGGTTGTTTCACGGGTAAAGCTGGGCTAGAAACTATTTCCAAAGAGGCAATTAGACCATTCTCAGGCAAAAGAGATGAAGCTACATCAATTAAAGAGAAAAATACACACTATTGCTCCATCTGTCAAATCAAAGCAACCCAAAAGTTCAAAGTTGTGATTAATAAAACTCCTATATACTGAATGGGTTTCATCCACACCTATTCCAGGGTTCTCAGGAGTAATGTTAACACCTAAAAAGATGCTGTGGAAGCAATTTCTTCTTTTTTAATTCCATAATTCAGAGAGGCATGGAGAAGCTGTGATATACGTGTATAGCATTGAGTTCAAAAAGGTTCTAAAGCATTAGTGTAATTCTACAGAGTAGAGGACAAAAAAACTAGACAAGCACATTACCAAAAGTATGTTGGCAGGGTTTCACATAGCAATCACTAGCCTCCAAACAGTGCAAAACACATACAAAAAATTTGAGCTTATTATCCTGCTTTTGTCCATCAAGGTAGTATATAAGAGCACCATATTCATTGTAACAATAAGGATAATACACAAAATTACCAAATTCTGTTCTAAATAAAGCATAAAATAATTTAAAGCAAGGGACATCTATCAAGCATAAAAATATTCCTAGACATGAAAAATAATAAACAAAGAAGAGAGACTTGTGTAGGCAATTCAAGTTCACAATTCAAGAACTCCAAATAATTCATTTGTTGACCATTATTTAAATGTACGCTTTCTAACATCTCTATGCTTCAATTCATCCTAACATCCTAATTATTTTTATTTACAACACAAATAAAGAATGTTAATAAGCCTGAACACCTGCTTCTGCCTTCTTAAGATTCAGGTAAAAGAATTACAATTTTCCGCATTGTTCAGTCCTCTATAAAATGTGGTTACAACAATAAAGTTTTTTAAATTTTTCAATATAATGGTGCTTATATACATGCAATGCATGTTTACCTGTATTAAATACTGTATTTATATGTTTTAAGCAGTTCTCTCATATTTTATGTTTTATGAAGGAAGATGAATTCTACCACCAATGTCCTCATGAAAACATGACCAAATTTTATTAGGAAACAAATCATTATGGTTTTCCATTTCAACATAAATGAAGAATGCTACAAATTTGTGCATCAGTCTTCATCGTATATTAAAATTATATCCCAAATCAAACCTGAAAACAATAGTAAGAATAGTATACTGTCTAAACAGCCAAGCTATTACTCTGTGCAGTTAGGTGTCCCAGTACAAAGCCAGCAGTTACTTGATATCATCAGTGGCAACTGTATGTGAACCCCCAATACCAGTTCTCTTTAAAATAACCTGCATGTCCTTACACCATCACTGTCTTTCTCTGGATATGAATCCTTTAGAATATTACCTCTAGTTACATGATCACAACTGTATTTCTGGACAAAAATTTTCATTGCTTTACACAAGGTAGAACAGGGGACAAAACTATAAAAACTATTGAGAGAGAAGGGATCTCAACAATACATATAAATATCTCAAAGGTGGGTGTCAGGAGGATAGGGCCAGACTCTTTTCAGTGGTGCCTCAACATGAGGCAGAACTTCTTTATACTGAGTGTGGTAGAGCACTGGAACAGACTGCCCAGGCAGTTTATGGGGTCTCCTTCTCCAGAGACACTCAAAACCCACCTGGACACATACGTGTATAATCTGCTCTAGGTGACTCTGCCTTGGCAGAGAGGCTGCACTAGATGATCTCCCAAGGTCCCTTCTAACCCTAACAATACCATGATTCTGTGAAATGCACTCCTAGCTAAAGAAGTTAATACTGTATTTTCACAAGTGAAAGAACATCACAGAAGAAGTCCAGGAAGGAAGGATGTGAACAAGAAAACATGCCTTCTAAGATCAAAGCACTCAATAGAAACCCAAAGGAGCCAGGAACCCTCATGAATCTGTAACAAGCTTCCCAAGTAAAACTGGCATGCCATTAAAAAAAGTTAAAATCCACTATTTTTCTCTTTTTTTAAAAATCCCCTTTTTTCATTTTAAAAGAGGGAACTCATCACACCCTAAGAAAATTAAGTGTTTCAACTCTGACAGCCAACTCATTCACATTCTCCTTATCTTCCACCTACATAAAAATCTGAATTCATAAATATTAGTATTCCAAAACAATTACCTGCATACTGTGATAATTAACTAACATTTATAGGAATCAGATGATAGTAAGTATCATGAAGAAATCATCATCATTACTATCCTCAGAGGAATAAGCTGCAGAAGTAAGATCCTGCTTGTCTGTATTAATGAAGATAGAAGCTTTTACAGTCAGGGACAAGTTCCTCCCCCAGAGGGTGGCGGAACAGGTTCCCCGAGGAAGTGGTCACAGCACCAGCCTGAGAGAGTCCAAGAAGCATTTTGACAGTGCTCTCAGGCACATGATGCAATTCTTGATGTGTCCTGTGCAGAGCAAGGAGTGGGACTCAATGATTCCAACCTCTTCCAATGCAGCATGTTCTATGATCCTATGACAGTTATCTCTTCTATTACCAAGTCTTAGCTTTTCACTTCCTCAAGAATTCAGATAAACATAATTTATATATAACTGTTACCCAACAGCTTATGACACTGGAAAATTACTAGTCATTTTCCTCCTCCTGCTCTTTCAACAGGAAAAAAAAATATGGCAAGACATTTATAATTTTAATATGGTATTGAACTGCAGCACAGCAGTTTCAGTGAGAACAGATTTTAAAGTATGCTTCAACTTGCACCAAAAAAAAAGGAAAAACTCTGCAATGTACTCTAGGCACTCTTGATGAAATATAACAATTAAACTTTTTCAACAAATTTTTAGAACTCTACATAGTTCTCAATTAGAAAGATAAAGAATATGGTATCAGCAGGGGAGGTTGGTTGCTTTTTGGTTTTAGTAGCATGTTAAATCTTCAAACTCACCTTTCCACAACCAAGCTGACAGCTTGAGTAAGATCTGGTTTTGACATCTGGAGATGTTTCCAAAGAGACCACACAAATTCTTTATCAGCCTTAGAAATAGGAAAAAAAAAAAGAAGAAAAAACACATTACATGTATAATGCCTTTTACAGACAAAAAAGGTTATACTGAGCATATTCAAAAGACAATTGCCAAGAAAGCCCTAATCTAGTGAGAATTCCCTGCAAGTTACTCACTGTTCCATGAAAACACAGCCGATGGCTCTCTTTAATAAAGTTTTAACCATAGAGAATATTGAAGTAAAATAAACACTTACAATCAACATTAAAATAGTATGCAATGTAACATATGGCAGCAGAAATGACAGTATTCAAAAAAGGCTGCCTTTTGCTGTATCTCTTACTGTTACTGACACAATTTCTATTAAATACTAAGCCTAGAATACCTGCTTCAACATTAAGATTTCCACATGCAGCTCTTTATTTTAAAACATGCAGTAAAACAGTCTTCTAACACACAGGCGTCTAACCTGCAGTATATAGAAGCTTCTGAAAGAAAACTCAAGTGAGCAAGGAAACACTGTTGTTTACAAACAGACTTCAGAAAGTTTGTGAAAACTAGATGTCAGCTAAAAGCTTTCCCACATTTGTATTTTCTACTACACATTACCTGTTATTTTTCACTGGTGTCTTGTTATTTTAATACGATTTTCTTACTGGAAGCACTAATATTAGTTATTTTACAAGCTAAACCCATGTGTTGATGATATAAAAATATTAGGGGAGAACAATAAAGTCCAGCAAAAGATGAAGACCAGTAAGACAATATGTGTATATAAACTATAGTCCAGACTAGGATGAGACCTACTGAAACAGTTTAACATAAAATTAGGAACTGATAAGCTAAACCCTTAGCATAATGGCAGCTAGGCCTATTCAACAGGGAAAAATAATTGGAGTGCAGCTATGTCTACTAATGTTTTGGAAACAGAGAATCATTTAGACTGGAAAAGACATTTATGGTCAAGGCATCCAAGCAGTAACCTAACATTGCTACAACCACCACAAATCCCTACATGCCACATCAACAGCTTTTAAATACTGCCAGGGATGGCAACACCAACACCTCCCTGAACAGCCTGTTCCAGTGCCTGACAAGAAATTCTTTCTAATGTCAAATCTAAATGTTAAAAACCAAATTGCCAAAAAGTTCTTGTAATTCAAGACCATCATCAGCTTATGCAAAATGCACTACACCAGAAAGAGTTCATCTTTCTTAAAAGCAGAAAAATTTCAACTGTCTTTCACAGGTTGTGCACAGCTTTTAAAATGCTAACTGTTTCTTGAATTTTCAAACAAAATCAAACAATTACTAAAAAAATTTGTGCAAAAAGAAAAGAGGAACAAGATGTTTCTAAAACACTTGCAAAAACCACAATCCTTCTCTAATCAAATTAGGTTACTAATGTAAGCATTCTTTTCAAAACTGAAAGTGACCCTTCTGCATGCGAACAGTTAACTAAATGCATTATGGAGCACTACATTCATTTTTAAAGAAAGGTAACACAAAAGCTGAACTACACACCAGATAATTAGTAACTCAAATGACTTTGCATCAGTATCCAAGTCTTTGTTCAGTACAAGTGCTAAAAATAGGTTAACTTTCAGCTCAGAATAAAGTTAAAAGATAAACACTAAGAACCATATTAATTGGGTTACTAAGTAAAAAAATAAAGCACAGCCCCTAATTTCATGCTATTACCTTACACATTTAGTATACTGAACTTCTATGTATCAGTGGGAAAGACTGTAAAAAGAGTGCACTTGTTTCATGTCCTCAGAATAAAAGACATATCTCCCAAAAATGCCTTGCCAGGCCACCTGAAGAGTTACAATGCGTGTAGACTGTGAACCAGGCATGACCTACTGCTTCTTCTCAGGCAGAAACAGAATTAAAAATAAAAATGTTTTTCAGATTTGGACAACTGCAGCAGACTTCCAAAAAGCATTAGGATCCACACAGAAGCTGGATTCAGAGTAATTTTAACATCAAAAAAATTTTGCGCTTTCATTGGTAAGTCGGGGGGAAAGCAAACAAAACAAACACACAAAAAACAAGCCACAAAGCAAGACTAAACTTCTCTAAACAATAGCAAATAAAGTATGATTTTGTTTTAATTATTTCAAAGGACATTAAATCAGCAATCTTTCCAGCCTAAATGACACTATTTTCACAGAATCAATTAGGCTGGAAGCAACTCTGAGATCAAGTCCAACCTGTGACCAAACACTGTGTCAGGTGGTCCATGGCACTGAATGCCACATCCAGTCTTTCCTTAAACACCCCCAGGGACAGCGACTTCACCACCTCCTTGGGCAGCCCATTCCAATGCCCAGTCACGCTTTCTGTGAAGAAATTCTTCCTAATGTCCAACCTACACCTCTCCTGGCACCACTTAAGCCTGTGTCATCTTGTCCTGTCACTGGCTATCCGTGAGAAGAAACCGACCCCCACCTGGCTACAGCCTTCTTTCAGGCAGTCATAGAGAGTGATAAGGTCACCTCTCAGTCTCCTTTTCTCTGAGCTAAACAACCTCAGCCACTCCTCACAGGACTTGCATTCTAGACCCTTCACCAGCCTTGCTGCCTTTCATCATAAGGAAATCTTTGAATCATAATAACAGGAATAAACCACTGTATCTACTCCAATTTTAGAAAAAATTTAATTCAAACTGTTTAACTGATCAGAAATATGGAGAGCAGAAATCACATGATAATAGTGTTTGAGCATTTTTATACCCTTAATACAGAATTCACTGTGTATTTCATACTAAACTACCATAAATCACTAAGAAATCAGTCTAAAGGCCACAAAATCATTACAGCAGACAGAAGACCCAATAGAACAAAATGCTAATAGTACTCTACCTGAAAACACTCAAAAATATTAAATCAAGCAAACAATCAAAAGTTTCTTATGCTGATTGATGACTTCATGAGCTATGTTTAGTTAATTTTATTTACCTATTTAAAGTCTTGGATCTGCTAATGAGCATGCTTCCTTAACTTTCCCCTTTACTGCCCTGAACACAAACCACAGAGGTAGCTGTTGTGTTTTCTGTTTATTTTTTTATATATTAGAAGAGCTGAGACCCTTAGGCTTCCATATGCATCTAAGAAGCACTATCAAACACCATGAGACTCCCTAGAAGCAGAGGTGTCTGCTTTTTGTCCTACCATGCAGATACATATTTCTGGTCCCAGCTGGGTAATAGTTTGAGGCAATCCAAGGATGTGGAATAGGGCACAACTTTCAGATGAATACTTCTGAGCACAGCTTTCCTCAATTACAAAATAAAAGCAAAAAAAAATGGAAAACCACAGCAACAGGTATTGAATTGTTCCTAATGAACAAATATGTACTATATATATGTACAATAAGAGGGAAGTCTTCACATTCCTCTCATAGTTTTTGCTCAGTATACAGCATGTACTGAGCCTCTGACAACTGAATTTCCACATAAACTTTACAATATCTCCCTTTGGTAATATAAATACAAAATACGAAATTTCAACAAACATTCCTAATGAGAACACAAACACTGAGGTATAAACTATCTCTTTTAACTAAACAAGCAGTTTGATTTAACCTGTAACTATGCCACAAACAGGCTACTTTAAGTTGTCCAAAGAAGAGTAAAATTGGCCACAAGTTTGTACTCACGTCAGTGAAATTGCCACTCCTCACATAACTCTTCCCTCTGTGCTAAAAGAACAGTAGATGAAACAACATTAAAAAACTCATCCTAATTATAAATTTAAAAAAATCTTCTTTGCAATAAGGAATATTGAATGACCACTAAACAAACTTCAAAGAAACAGCTACACAATAGGCTAAAAGGTGTCCATTAAATGATATACAAATAACAACAAATGCAACCACAAAACACAAACCAAAGCCTTCACAAATCCTATGGAAGTAAGTGAAAAGTTATTGGAATTTCCAAAACTGCAAAACAATAATATTTCAATACATGTTGTTAATTTTTGATGATGACACATTGATATTTAAAGTTACTACTGCAATTTATGAATGAGCACACACAGAGCTATAAAGAAATGCTGCAATTACATCAACAGATATGAGAAATTAAATCATCATATGCCTTTCACTATGCACCCAATATGTACTTTAACTTCTCTAAATGCATATAAAACTAAGCAATGTCCTGCCTAAGTGTACTCCTGCAAAAAAAATAAGGATGATAAGGATGTAAATGCATCTTCAAATGTTACCAGTAAAGAAAAAAACCAAATCAAACAAAAAAAACCACAACTTCATCCAAAGTTAAAAATATGAGAACATTATTTCACAAAAGCAAAGTTTACACAGAAATGTACAAAATTTATCATTAAGACAACAAAGTATTACAAAAATATTAGTCAAAGAATGTTGAGTTACCATATGTGGATTTCTTTTCTTTAACACGCCAAACATTTTAATGGTTATTGCATTTAAATCTCAGTAATATGATTAATTAAGCATTTTGTATAATGGAATAAGTATGAGTTAGAAATTATTAAGGTTTAAGACGAAAAGAAGTTTAAACAGCTTTTTTAAGCTCTTGGCAGAATTCATGGACTTGGTAAAGCTTTTCCCTGCATGGCCCTGGGAGCCAAACAATTTCTATGGAAAAAAGACTGCTTACTTAGACTGTTTGAAGCTGGCACAGAAAAACACTGCAGCTGTCAAGGCCTGGGATGTATCAATCTTCAGCTTACCCAAAGAACATTCAGACTACTCAAGTGCACATTAACAACTCAAGAGGTCAGCAAGAGTGTACCTTGGACAGCTGAGATTTTATATAAAGGCAGAATACAGATGCCATTTGAAAGCTAGTAAAAATTACTCATTACTTAGAACATATCTAATGTCAGATAAAGATGCTCACCTTGCAATCAAGTTTGCATGCAAGAACAAAAATACTCTGAAAAAAGAAGAGAGCACATTGTGTATTCCCTGAAAAGTGACATTTTTGCCCTCAGCCTACAGTTAAAGTGATTGTAGTTCATCATATTGAAAGATAAAAAGAAATACAGGCTACCTTAGGCTTTAAATGTGTTCTTTGCCAAGAAAACTGGATTTTTTCTTACTGATTTTTAACAGGAGAAAGCTCAGAAACACTGACAAAAGATAAGCCACTAACAGACATTATAAGGCATAGCTAGCTACAGCACGAGTATTTGCTTTCAAGTGAAACTGCAAATTTATAAAGCACCAGCAGAAATCAAAAATCTAAGAATGCCTCTGACTTACAAGCAGGAAAAAACAACTATCCTTATTCAAAACATTTTATCTTCCTTTTGGAAGTGAATTCCAAGCATAACTATTTCACTGGCTATTTGGTATCATAAATACCTAAAACTGTATCAATATTGCAGTTATTTGTCTAATGGAAACTTGGAATCTTTTGAAACCATAGAATCTTTTGAATATTTTTATACAGCTTTATCAAGGAGAATTAGATGGCATCTTTTTTTTAAAGTAATTATACTGAATTTACTAAAGCAAAACTTTCAAATTAGCAGTGAAACAAGTATCAAAAGCATAAACAGTATCTTTTTTCTTTTTTTTTTTTTTCATCTCACAGAAACTATACACTTAAAACAGTTTGGGTTTTACATTTACAAGTAAGTTTAGTTTTTTGTTTAGATGTTTGTCATGCACTGTGTTGAGAACAAGGATAAACTGAAAAACTTCCCCCCCTTTAACATAAATTCATACATCAAGCATCTCAGTTACCTGCAATTTGAAATCAGTACTCTTTTTGATCTTACACTGTATTTATTTCTAAGCATGTTAATTACTGTTAAGTGTTCCTAGCATAACTTACATCTTTACAGCATTACAAATTATTATTCACTTATTATTATTCATCTTCTCAAATCTAAAAGACAATACCCTCAGAACAGAAAAACAAAACATAAACCCCAACCTCTTAATACTCAGTCCAAACAGCCTCTTCCGTACCCCCACCTCTCCAAATATCACTACAAAAACACAAGACACAAACTCTCATTTTAGTTCTTTAATCAGTCCATATCCCCAAGTGGGAAAATAAAGTAGCTGGGAGGACAGAGGGAGCTATTGGTTTACTGTTAATTTTTAATAAGAACTCTATAACAATTACATACCAATAATTTTCTGTGTTATGAATTGAGTAATTCAAAACACATGATTGTCAGGCTGGAAAAATTTGTATGGAAATCAAAATACTACATGGTATGGGGTGTGAGGGGGGAACGCATGAAATAACCTGGCTAGCTGGCATAAGCACTGAAAAACCTGCAAGAAAATTTTGTCTATGGATTGTTCCGGGCTCCCTGAACATCTAGGATAGACTAGTACATTTCCAACTAAACAACTCAAGTCTTTTATCAATCAAGCTGATATATACACTTCACATAGAAGTGACAAGACTTGTTTCTTTCTTGATGTCTCGCAAGATTTTTAAACTTACACTACTGCATAGTGTCAGTTCAGACTCTCTTGGCCCACTGTGCCAGCGTTTCTTTGTGCTTTCCAGTTTTCCATATTACATTCCTAAATAAGAGGTATTCTTTTTACAACCATGAACTGCTGAGTAGTCACAACGAAAATACTCTTGTTCTTTAGAAAATCCATCTGTGAGGTGCTGCGCTTTTCAACAACCTAAGAAGTCACCAGAAGACTGATCAGTAACTCAGAAAACTTAGAACCTTAAACACAACAGGCTCTTAAAATAATTGTGCATTATTTTCAAGTTTACAGAAGTCGCTCACAGACAGTATGCACTGTTAACATCTAATTATCAGGTAGAAATTTGTAAGAGGGCTGTAAGTGACTTGACCAGACTGACTTTTTAACAGACATCATCAGCAAACGAGTACTTTCCCCCATCCCCTCAATTCCTTAATGCTGCAGTATGAGACACAATCAATGTGTAAATGCATTATATTAAAAAAAGTTTGATGTATATTTCACACATACTTTTCTATTCAAATGAATTACTGTTATATTGTCTCTGTTGGCAGTTCTCACAACAAACGTATGTTTGATGCAAAAAGGGACAAGCAGTAGTATACTGCTTTACTTGTGGGTAAATATACACCCACACACACCCTCAAACACTCACTCCCTTAGAAACTGAATCCTTACTCATTACTTTGCTGAACACAAACAAGCACAATAAAAATAATATAGTGTCATTGTTACAATGATAATGCCTTAATAGTGCTCTAAGCAAAATATCACCCAACTTATACTAAAGATACTGTCCTTACACATGATTTAATCAGCATACTCTCAGATTATTTCATCAGCATAACCAAAATACAGCAATGAACTTAACTGAGTCATTTCATTATATAGTTTAATTGGCATAAATAACTGACTTATTGTGGCAACAACTGGCAAGAAATACAAGGTACTCCTTGGTCGTGGCATAGTAAAAAAATGAACTGAAGAGCAGTACCGCCACAGGAGGAAGGAACACACATAAACTTGTGGACAGAATTTACCAGATGGACATGGACCTATCACACACAATGCCACCCTCACTGAATAGCAAAAAGTAAATTACCTTCTTCTTCAGTGAGCACACAGGATGCTCTGTTTCCATTCATTCACTAGAACAGACTTCTACCAGCACTTGCTTTTTTCTGAGTACTCAATATTGGAGATGTGGCGCTTGATAAAGGTAGGAAATCTTTTCAGAAGGGAGAACGTGTGAGAAATCAAAAGCTTTCTTTTAATCCCTTTTTACATCAAGGATAGGATAAGTGATCTGCCAGCTTTCATTTCAAGCTATAACTTTCTTAACTACTTCAATTAAAACTAACTGCAGTCATAGAAGTAATTTACACAGAAGATGCACAGAATTGGGTAGGACATGAATTTTTCAAGTCACATAACTGCTTTCTGTAAGCACCACAATTCAGAGTTATTGTTACAATTCTATCACTTACTTGAGAGTACAGGATCATTTAAAAGCTTCAGCATAGCTCTCAGAGTTCGTTTTGTTTAAATGTAATGCTCTGGATTAATAAAATCATAAGGCACTTGTGATTTTTAATCCATTTAAGAATACAGGAATGGGTAAATAATTTTATTTTACAGACAATATAACCATATGCATGCATTTAGGTATATTCCCTCTGTATTATCATGACTAACCAAGTGCAATTTGGGTCCATTATTTCAAATGCACCTGAAATGGCATTGTAGTACTTTCCAAATCCTGTGGACAAAAATTGTGACAAATATGAGAATACTTGCATACCTTTTAACTGTGAGCTAAACTTCAACTAGTTGAAACAGTGCACTCTCCATAGCAGCAAAGGACAAGAACGCTATCTGAAGTCAGATAGTGTTCAAGAACCGTGTACCTCCTTCCCAAATCAAAACAGTTAAATGGGAAAACTAGACCAGCTACACCTGTTCTCCTCCATGTTGAATCTGTAACAACATTGGCAAACGTAGACATCAAAGTGTGTTCTAGAGTTCTAGAGACCTCCTCACTGCATTTGGAAAAATTAAAAGAGCCTAATCTCTGCATATACAATGCAACTTCCTTTATTGAGAAAAGCAGTGGTTTGTTGTTCACATAACAGGTATTTTTTGCATTCATGTCTATCTTACAGCAGCCAGACAAAGTCCCCCGTGACTGGAGGAAAGGGAATTTCATGTCCTTTTTAAAAAAGATCATGGGAACCACCAATCTGCAAGCATTACCATATTGCCCAGTAAAACCATGAAACTGGTCCTTCCTGTCGTAGGTTAAACTTTAGGATGTAACCAAAAGTATGTATTTTATTACATCTTCATAAGTGCTCCTTATCTCCTCCATGATTCATCCCTGATAATTCCCTCCAGGTGCTGTCTCTGCTAATGGGCCATCAGGCCTCATTGCATGACTCAAAAATCACATCATCCCATTGTGAGATGCTCCACCCAGGGGAATGAACCAAGCATTCCTACCTGGATATGAGGTTTGGACACCATGGGCAGCCCTACCTACTGTATTCCCAGAGGACAAGAGCTACACAACCATCACTGAGATGGTGATGTAGAAAGACTACAGGACTTTTACTTCCCTTCTACAGGATGACCATTTCAACAGAACCACGTCCACCATCTAATTGGACTGCTACCACCACCCTGACTAGCACAGTGTCAGTGTCCAGAATCTGACACTGTTTCTGTACAATTGCCCATATTTTAATCTTCCTATTAAACTGTAGTTCTGACTTGGAATGTCTCACTAGCTTGCTTTCAAACCAGTACACTATGACAAGCATGGGTGACAAGAGGGTACTTAGATACAGGCAACATACTTCACCAAGGGCAAACCATGTCTCTGATTACATCAGTGGATAAATGAAGGGCTATGGATCTATGGATGCCACCTACCTCCATTTCCACAAAGCCTTTGCTACAGTCCCCCACAACATTCTTGCCATTTATTTGGAGAACTAATGGGTTGATGGATGCACTATTAGATGAGTAAGAGTCTAGGTCCCTGTCCAGAGGGTTACAGTAAACTGCTCTTTGTCCACACGGAAAACAATCATAAGTGGTGTTCCTCCAGGGTTTATACTGAAACCAGTACTGTTTAACATCTTCCTAATTACATCTTCATGATATAAACAGTACCAAGCTGAGCACTGGAGTTTCTACACCAGTAGGAGGGGATGCCATCCAGAGGGAATGACACTGACAGGCTTGAAAATCTCAAATATGAAACAAGGCAAAGTGAAAGGTCTTGCACCTAGGTTTGGCAAAGCCCATTATCAATACAGACTGTGGGATAAATTGGTTGAGGGGAAAAGCACTTGCATGAAATGCTGGACAAAATGCTGAACATGAGCCAGCAGCATGCACTTGCACACCAGAAAGCCAACTGTATCCTGGGCCCATGCCAGGTCACAGGAGACAATTCTTCCTCACTTGTCTGCTGTTGTGAGACCCTACCTGGAGTACTGTGCCCAGCTCTGTGGAGCCTAGCACCAGAAAGACATGGCCATATCAACAGGTCGACAGCAGGGACAAAAACTGATCAGAGGCATTTTCACACCTTTCCTGTAAAAAAAGGATGAAATAGTTTGGTTTGTGCTGCTTAGAAAATACATACAAGGGTCCTGATTCCCACCTTTCAATACCTAGACAGACTTTACCAATGTCTCAAGTGACAGAAAAAGGTTTAACAGTCTTAAAATGTATCCTTTTCAATTTAAAAATATTTAAATTTGGATTAAGTATAGATTTAGACTGAACATAAGGGAAGTGGACAACAAGGCGGTGTGGCAATGGAGGAAGATTGCAGGTCCCCCCTCAACAAGTGTTCAATGACATGTTGGGTAGGGTTTTAAGCAACATGACCTACTGAAAGACATCCTTGGCTAGGGAGATGGGACTAGATAATCTTTAAGGTCCTTCTAATCCAAACTATTCTATGACTCTGTAATCTGTACACCAAATTTTAAATTCCCACTGACATGCTGGGCCAATCTGAAACATTCACACACAGACATACTGTGAATAAGAAATGACTTTGTGAAGTGCAAAAATATACTTTTTTGTTTTTAAATCTCACTTTTAGCTAGTCTTCAATTTAACTTCTATATTTTAAACCAGTGTTTTCCGAAAGGAATACCAGATATGAAAAAACTTCACTACACTTAACTAAAATTTGCAAGAAGTAAAAGTAGAAGAAAATAACTTAGGTATTCAACAACACTACTTCCATATATAAGACAAAAAGAGTAAGGCCTTTACTAACAACACCTGTACTAATCAGACTTGTGTGATTTACACTCCTTATGGCAAAATATAAGAGTATAAAATAACAAAAAAACCACCCAAAGCACTAAACAGCTGGCATCCCTTGGCACCAATAAATATGTGGTCTTGACTTAATCACTAATAAAAGAAATTAGCATTTAATGAATGGAAGAACTAAACACTTTGCTTCATTTCAAAACAACAGGATGAATATAAACTATTTCTCTAGAAGAAATACTGACACACTCAAATTCTCATGCTGGTAGTTTACAAAAATTTCAATTTTGGTCACAAAGTTAGATGGACAAGAACAAAGTTGACATAAAAATACATCACCATGGAATAACTATGTTTTAGTGTTCTGTTTTTTTTGCGGTTTTAAATTTATTGTTACTTTTAATTCCCAGATATTGATTTAAAAATATTTCTAATATGCATCATCAACATGCATCTGCAATATCTAGTCACCTATTATGAAGCAACACAATGTCTTGGTGTGTTAATGTTTTTTCATGTTTACTTGTAAATAAAGGAGGGAGGTATTAAAACTACATATAAATCAATAGCATCATGGCTACATTATTTTCAGTGGGTTTTTGACTGCTGCCAGTTGGCAGACTGTACTTTTTGGGCTGTACACAGTATCATGCAATAGCATACTTAATTGCTAATACAGTAGAAGATTGGGCATTATAACAATCACTGACAGAAAAGGCACATGAGGTACAGAAGATAACACTAACAAGACCTCCCTAAAAATAATACATGTATTTTTCTGCAGGAGAAAGAAAAAAAAAAGATAAAGAATAGTTCAGCTTTGGTAATACAATGAAGTTAGAAAGTCCTCGAGAAGGAAAATAAAATATCATTTTAGCAGAAAAATTTTACCTTTGGTATACCTTTGAAATCAAAAAGCTGCAATGAGTAAAATGAAGACTGATGGTGTCTTGGTTTTTTTGAAACTAATAATAGGTAAACTGTTAAGACACTTGTTTGAATTCGAAACAGCATTTTTGATGAATAGAGAGATCCTAAGATGGTAAATGTAAAATTAAGCTTAACAAAATAAACTTGTCCTGTGAGTATCACCAATAGCATAAGTAAAATCAGAAGATAATGCGCCTGCGTCTTCAAACTTTTTGTATTACCATCAACCTAGGACACTCTGTTCAACATGGAAAATGCAGTCCAGAATCACTGTCTTGTTCATAGCAAGGATTTGATGCAGTTTCCCATCACAGAATACCTGAAAGAACTATTCCTATCTTTTCAGTTACAGAATAGGGGGGCATGTAAGTGTCTGTTCTAGAAATAACCTGGGAGCTAGGACATCAATCATCAATTTAGCAATGCACATTATTTTACACCAAATGAACTGTCTTTCATCACAAGAGGGTCCCTACAGGACACCAAGGAATATGCTATGAATCTACAGACCAAACAGGTGGTTTAAAGAAATACAGAAGACTAAAGAGAAAGCACATAAAGCTAAAGAAAGTAATCTTGGTTCAGAAATTCAGAAATTCCACCTAGAGAATGAGCTTCCAGAGACAAATCATTCCCCTTACTAAAAAAAAAAAAAAAGAAAAAAAAAACCCAACGAAAATCAAAACAAGCACAAGGAAAAAAAAACAGAAGCAAACAAAAGCAGACCAATTTCCTGTACCAGGAGCCATCACGTTTTGCAAAAAAAGCATATCCATCTGCTCCACCCCCAAAAATACACAATCACAAGGGAAAATAAAATTGAGGTAAAACACAAGCCAGATCTTTACAACCCCCAGAAAAATTCTCTCTCCTGAGAATAATAAGAACATAGGTATTGAAATACTGGTATTTTGAGGTGGTAGGCAGTAGCATAAAACTCTGAAATAGAATACAGCAGTTAACAAAAGTAACAGACACAAGATGTGAGGTGACTTACTATTTGACCTTTGTCTTTCCACTGCCCTCCAATAATGTCAAGCCTATTACAGAAATGTAAAAAGGTGCCAAAGAAAACACGAAATTTAAAAATAAAAAACAATTTTCTGTTTTCTTTTCAGTTGTTTTCAGGAACCATAACTTTATTTCTCAAGTAATTCTCAAATAAAATAAGAAGAGCCACTGAAATTAAAAATAATTACAAAATGTCTTACTGCAGACACAATCATAATTTTCCCAAAACAGCATACTATAGAGATAGAACTCCTTAGCTTTATATAAGGCTTCTCAGTAGACAATCTGAGAGTTTTGGACTATTTTCTTAATTTGGCTTTCTCACCACAAAATTTGGCTTTAGCTTTCTCACTACAAAATTGTATCTCAATGTCAGTTTGCACAGAATGACTGCAAGAAAATTGTGCTTTTTTAACAGGCCCCACTCCTGTGGGGTAAGGTCTTGCTTATTACTCTTGAAAATCCTACAATTGTTTGAGTAGTATTAAAGGAAATATTAAATACTACCCCACTTCAGCTGCAGAAGTCAAGACTTAGTAGTAAAACCTCACCCTTAGAAAGTAATGAAAAAAGGAATACACACACACACACACAAAAAAAAAGAAGTAATAAGAATACCATATATGACTCTTGTAGGCAGCTTTACTATGTTCAAAACAAAACATTGTTTTGAACATAAAGGCCACCACCCTGGATGACTAGAAGAGTCAAGTTCTCCAGCATTCTGACACAGAAAATAAACAATATCCAGAAGTAGATGCCTGGAATACCTGAGGTTAGAGCAAAGCTAGCATGCACAATACTTCCACTAAGACTCAGGGGCTTCACTAGCCCAAGAAGGCTCCCATGTATTTAGCCAAGAGACCCCAACCAACAGGCTCTAGTTCCCAGAAAAAGATTTAATTTCAGAAGGGCAGTTTATATAGCAGTGAATATAAAATCCAAGAAGGTGCATAGAAGAGAAACATGGCATAATTTATTCAGATGCTAAATCACTTTTGGATACATACATCTTTTGCTAAAACCGTTCGGTTTAGAACCAATTAAAACTTTAGCCCCAGTCATTTGATAAATGTCTTTTTTTCTTTGATATAAAATATCCAAAAGGCTAATATCTCAACCAATAGTTAAGACTAATCCTTTTGGGGAAAAATATCCAAAAGGCTAATATCTCAACCAATAGTTAAGACTAATCCTTTAGTTCTGGTGCACCCTTAAACTACTAAACTAGATTTCAGCTGGGAAGTTTTTGGAAGTGCAGTGTATGAGCCTGTGAAGGAAAAGAACTTGGGTAATTTTATCCAGTTGCTGGATGATAAGCTAACACCCTCTCACTAACATCTTTTATAAAGGCACTTACATAACTTTTCTATCCAAAATGCCTGCTAAGGCACTCTGAGAAAAACACAACCCTAACCAAAAGCACAGAACAGAAAACAGAATCTTAATAGAAACTGAAACACTTTTACTGAGATAGACCTGCACAGGTTGTCCTGAGGGCTTGCAGTCTCCAGGAATGGAAATACTCAAAATTTAAGGGGGCACTGTCCAGGGCAATCTGTTCTAGGGTGGGGTGCAAAAGATGCTCTCAAGAATTCCATTCCAACCTAAATGGTTTCACAATGCTGATTAACAAGACAGCACAGAAACAAAAGAAGTTCTTAGATCTAAAGGAAATTAAGCAAACCACAGCAGAT